ATGCAGAATCATGTTTGTTTTCGTTAAGTCAGCCCACGCTGCGGTGAGGTTTTGTGAAATCTTACGAGCAAAACATATTTGCTGGCATGGGCCTTACTCTGTTAATAAGCTGTAATCTGTCCTGTGAGTGCGTGAGGCTCTGCAGCCATAGGTAGCTCCTAGACGGCCTTTCTGGGCTGCATGCTGTAATCTTCATTTCCTGCATGGCTGCAGAGTAGTTGGTAGTTTTCTCTTTTCCTGTGTGTCTCTTTAGTCTGTCCTACCACACGTTGCTTACATTGCCTTAACTCCTCTTCACGTGACATCAGAAAGCGGGAGGAAGTCCTCCCAAAGCCAAGCACACGTGGCTTTGGTTTTTTCACAATAGGATCTTACAGTTGTGCAGTGCTAGTCCTTGCAGCGGTTTTTACCTCCCACAGCCCATGCTGGTACAGTTATCACAGAAATGCATGATTTCTGAGTAACTTCTAACGCTTCTTGGAGATTGTGAATAAATCTATTTGGTTTTGGGGACGCTAATTTTTTTTTCCTGTCTTTATTTTCTTCCCCCTCCCCCCGGACTTCAAATTAAGCTTGAAGGTTTTGCTTTTATTAAATTTGAGACTGAACCTCTGTTCATTCTTCTGTCTAGATTCAGCCTATAAAGGTTTTCTTTTAACATAGAAGTCAACCTAAACAAAATCTTGGGCGTAAGCTGGTATGTTGAAAAATGAGGGGGATGACTTGTATTTTCAAAGCTATTTAAGAGTAATTGGACATCCGCATCCCTTTAGTATTCATGGAAGTTTGGCATCTAAATGCAGCAGACAGCTTTGAAAACCTGCCAGGTCTTTAACACTGTATGTTCTGATATTTTCTCTTTGTTTTGTGGAAGTGGGCAGTGATATTTAAAAAAAAAAATCTTGTTGGCATTTTGATGTGAAAACTCTCAATGGAATTTCCTGAAGAGAGGAAAAAGAGGCCAGCTCTTCCTGCCCCTGGCAGTGAGGGTGCAGCACGATGCACCAGTGCCACTGGGTGTGCTGTGGAATTAACCACTCAGAAGTGTAGTGGAAGCCAAAGATGTTTAGTTGTCCAGCTGAGAGCAGAAGCAGGCTAAATTCCTGTCTTATGTCTTTTATTTTGTCCTAGTAATCATGTTCTGTGCAATGACACTTAAAAGTGAGGCTGTGCTGTACTTGGCACAGTTGCAGATAAAGTGGCAACCAGTCCCTATTTCAAGGAGTTTACAGAGGAGGGAGTTGATACTGTTTAATGGGAGATATAAAGCTGGATAATGATAGCAAAATAAAAGCAAGTTAGTTTTACATTTACAGTTCATTCCTTTTGCTTGGAGAATGGCTCTATGGAGGGTAAATGGAGGGGGAAATGAAGGTAGAGAGGGAATGTTGAAGGAATGGGTCCTTAGGTAGCAGAGTCACACTTTTTGGAACAGGTGTTTTATATGGCACTTGGCTCCCTGTTGCTGTAGTATCTGATCTCTCCTCTGTTGCATATCAGGTGGTTTGTCAACTGAAGAAGTTATTTCATTTCCATTATTCTATGTGTGTATAATTCAGAGTACCTCATGATTCTTGCTGAGTATCTGTACCTCCAAGTTGTTTATTTCAATGCTTACAAGCCTTATTTAGGGCTTTGGGGATTTTGACAAGAACAACCTTTCCGTATTATTTTTGAGCTATTCAAAAAGTATTTTCCTCCCTCTTCTTCCCTTCCCTCTTAAAGAGATGCAGGGATGTGCTTTCTACTGTTTTTTAGCATTTAAATATTCAGTACTGCCCATTACATCCTGGTCCCATTTGCTTAGTCAGTCTTTTTGAGTAGCCTATAACTTTCCAAACACCAAGCAAGGCTGAAAAGTGCTGTGGACTACAGGATCCTTTTGTTTCCCATGTCTCTTTTTGTATGCAAAGCATTCATACAAGGCTGGCTAGTGAATGGCTCTTTGTCCAGGACCTGGTGAGAACAGAGCAGTTGAAGTCTGCAGAAACACTGTTCTTTACATCAGATGTTTCATTAACTCCTCCTAATCTGTATTTAATGACCTGTTGCTCATGCAGAGCTCTTTCGATGAGAGATAGGCAGAGGTTTACATCTGGCAGTATAACGAAGCATTATATACTTCTCCAGTTTTGCACAGAAAAATGACTGCCCTTTATTACTGCGTTAGGAATTTATATTATAAAAATCAGCATGTATCTCTCTAGTGGCATTTAAATGTAAATGCCTAAAGTTTTTCGAATACGTATTTTATATTTCATACATAACCAGGACAGTGATATTGTGAGTCATTGCAATAAATTTTGGAATTTAAATTTAATTTTTATTCAAAAGCTGAAGCTGTCCTTGCATATTTCTCCCAGTAGGGGGGGAAATGTCTTTTATCTCTTGGCTAAGAGTTATTTTAGTCATCTTACCTAGCAGACAGCAATGGAGAGTGAAATCCTTGCCCTTTAGCACCAGGACAGGAGCAGCCTTCATAGCATGTAATGTACATTATATCAGCAGCATGTCTCAGTTCTGTCTTGGATGATCTTCACAGGGGAGGTGTCAGCATAATTCTCTAAAAATCCCCTTATGCTCTTTTTGTATTGTCTTGATAAGGTATGTTACCTCATGTTACAGTATTTGGAAAAGCAGAACAACTTACAGGTCTGCAAGAGCAAATACTGAAACCAGTGGAGTTAAATCTAATAAAAAATAGGTTAAGCTTTACACTGCATCTTAGCAAAGTGTTGGGAATATTGTTCTTAGGACCCCTCTGATTTATTGCATCCTTGCAGTAAAGCAGTAGAAAGTATCTCAGTTAATTGCATTCACTTTGAATTGCAAATACTAGTAAATTAGCTTTTAGGATATAACTGACAGCCTGGAGAGGCCAGGTAGGATTAAGCAGTGAATTCTGGCATAGCCAAGAATCAGGTATCTATTTGATTTTACAGCTTCAGTAGTGCTGATCCCAGTAAAAGGAGCATGGGCAGGGTGTGAAATTGCTTGGGAGAATGTCGAAGAAAGCACAGAAGGCTATTGATGCACCAAAAAATTTCAGAACAAGATTTACAGCTGTTCTTGTACCAAGCAGTGGTTCTTCTGTGAATGCTCTTGTTGTGATCCACTGTGACCACCAAGGGATCGAGGTGTTATTCAGCATGTTTAGAAGTGGATTCTTACTTTATTGTCAGTTTAGCTAAGCATATTTTTCTTCAGATGTTGTTTGGATTAGCTCTGTGAAATCTCAGTGGCAAAATGGGTTATCCTGTACATACATCAATTTCCAAGGATGCATTTTAAGAAGCCCTTAAAACTTACTCGCATACAGGGGCTGTCTTACAGGACCAGTAGGATTGTTTCAGGATGACTGAGAAGAATTTGGGCACTTCAAAGCATATGTTTGCAAGTTTTCGTGCATGTTACACTTCCCCCCCAACAGATAAAATGATGAGATTTCCAAAACAATTGGAACAAATAATTTTTGTTATGTCTACCTACAATGTAGTTGGAGATTCAAGATCTGGTTTTAAATGAGCTGTTTCAGATAATGCAAGTGGTTTTAGCATAGTACTCAAGGCTAAGTAAGCCCAAGCTGACATCCTCATGACTGTGGCTATGTTGCTCCTTTCAGACTTGTTTGCCTTTATTAGTTTGGGTTTACTTTACAGTGCACTCTTATATGCAAACCCTTGATCTTTCTCTGCCTCAGCTTCCCCATCGCAGTGGATATGTCCAACATTAAGACCTTGTAATAAGACTGTTGAAACCTATGTTCTTATTTTGAAGTATTGTGGAGCTCTGAGATTGTTAGCCATAGTAGGGCAGATTATCAATATGAAGGTGGTGGATGGTGGTGCTAAAACTTATTCTTTACAGTTCAGCAAATCTGGTGGCGAGAGCTTGAATTCAGTTACACTGGTTGACTTTCTCTACAGATCTGGGATTCTTACATACAAAGCTTTACTTCAGACTGATATTCTAGAGGAGCATAAAACTACCACATTTTTATAATTTGAAATACTTTGGATGAATTTGTTACAGTTCTCACATGAACCTTCAGGGCGGAAACTGACAGCCCACTATATTTTCTCTCTCTGATGTTACTAGGATGTTGTAGGACAAATACTTGTTCTCCTGCCTATTCAGATTAATTACAGGTGCCTGACGCAGTTAGTTGAGCATAGAATGTGTAAATTCAGCTTGCCTTAATCTCTTCTATGTGTAATTGTCCACCTTCATTAAAGCTGCTTCTAAGGAATCATGAAATTATTTATGGAGCTGTATATCTGAAACAATGGGCACTCCCATTGAAAATGAAATACATAATACTGCTTTCAAGGCACATGCGCTTCCTATGAGGTAAGAGATTTTGCTTCGTGCTGTTGGAGTTGAGTCTATGGTTTCCTCTTCCCACTGGCATTTTCACAGTGCCAGGGGCCATTCCCACTCATAACAACTGTATCAGTAGTTTTGGCACAAGTGGGCACCTGCCACCTAGAAGGAATGACAAATACTAGAGAAACAGAAACTGTGTTGGAGAAGGTGGTTGTGTTACAGCTTCACTGCACACTGGAGTATTGCTCTGGGAAAAAATGCAGTGAAAAAAAAGCAGAAAGGGTCTTGGAGCTCTGAGCAAAGAAACTGTTTTGGCTGATTCCTCATGTCTGCAGGCTGCTTTCTCTAAATTAACAAATTAGTTTGAAAGACGCTGGCTGTCTCTCTAAGATTACTTTTCTTCCCCCCTCAAACTGAAATAATCTTCAAGCTCCTTACTTTTGCCCAACTGTTGGATTCTATATTTGTAGTTTGAGCTAGAAAAGCTTTTTACCATTTATGATAATTGTATATGAATTATGCTATTTGAGATTTTGCTTTGGTGCAGTAGAGGTTCCTCTAAACACCCATCTCATTTTTTCAGATATGGATCCCTGGAGACCCCAAGCTTTGAAGAAGTTGAAAACAAGAATTCCTCTGAATCCAAAGCAGTTGTCAGGATGTAAGTGTAGTTTTGCCCTGCACAGTGAGCTCTAATTGGGATTTGATATTGGAGGAGGATGTGGGCAGCATAACATTTGTTTCCTTTGAAAATTCTCAGCACTGTTTACTTGCTTAAACAAGGTTGTGTAAAGGCCAAATATCAGTTGTCTCAAAACATATCCAATATTATAACCCAGAGATCTTTTGATCCTTTGGCCCTCATGCCTTTCATGTCTGAATCTGATACCTGTTACTCAACTACTTATTTATAGAAAGCTCAACAATGAAGTTGTCAAGAAAGTAATCTGTCAGGTGTATGTGCTTTAACAGATCGTGTATAAATGTGAAACTCTTTCTTGCCTTAAAAATTTCCATTGCTCTCAGTTGCTCTGGCTACTTTTGTCTTACACAGATTAATGGTATCTGGAAAAGAGGTTGGCTTTGTAGTCCTGTTGTGAAACATGTAGTTCAAGTAGTTCATGTTTTGTCTTGTCTGGGATAATTCCAATATAATTGTGTTTACCATCTTTTCTCGTAGAACAGAAACATGACACAATTTTGCTCTTAGTATTATATGACTCGGAGAAATAAGAGGAAAAAGCAAGAAAGCTATGTTCTTTCTTGCCATTAACTCTGTATTCCTCAGAGAAAAATATCGCATGGGGAAGCCTGTGGTCTGTAGCTAGAGATCTGCATTTATCAGACTCCTGTTATGACAGTTCAGATGCTTTAAAAATCCATTTGGGGCATTAGAAATAGGGATGCAATTTAAAGCATTTCCACTGGTTTGACACAAAAAAGAAAACTGCTACAGAAGTTAAAAACAACTGTAGGAAGAGGATTTATGACTCCTCAAATATCCTTTTTAAAGAAGAGATGGGTTTTTACAAAATCTTAGGGTACGTATGGGAGCAATATCATGTTGTATGTGGTATACTGTAAGCCCACAGATTACTACTTTCTGTATTGAAGTTCTCTGTGCTTCCTGTACTTGTAGTACAGATTTGTGATGAATTTTGAAACAAAAAATGCCTGATGTAAGTTTTTGTTTAGTTTTTTTCATTAATTAGTGTTCTACCTCGTGCTCATGTAGCTCAGAACCTGCAAGTCCTACACTAGGGCTTGAGGACACTTATGGCACAGCCTCATTTGAGAGACTTGTGGGAGCTATCAACCTACCCTGATGTTTCCGAATTCGGGGTCCAAGCCAGCAGTTAACTTCTCCCACTTGTTGCAGTGACATATAGTTGTTACTGACCCAACATCATTTCAGCTGTGTTTGAAATTGTGCCTTCTAAGGATCCGTTCTGCCAAGGGGATTTTCTTCTGTTCACTCAGAACATCATTTTCTTCATCATTCCTGTCAGTTTTGGGCCTCTGGGGTGGCCAAAAAAAAAAAAGGTATTTTTTGTCAGGGATCAGGTTTAATTAACTATAATCTAAAATGTCTTTGGGGATTTTTATTGTTATTGTCCTTTTCTTTAAAACTGCATTCAGTAATACACAGCTTAAAGAAAGGAACTGTAATTTTGTAATTTTACAAATACACACAGTTTGGACCTTAGAGTTATGAGTAGGCTCAGAACACCCCCAAAAGATCTGTGAGCTTAAAAATCTCCCTGCCATGCATGGCTTTGCTTTTCTTCTTTTTTTTTTCCTCAGTTATCAGGATCCAGCTTAGCTTCTCATGTTCAGTAGCTTGCTTTCCACAGTTCTTACTGCTTTCAGTCAGTCAGAAAGTTTGTGGTTATAAGTAAGAGAAGAATAAAACCCAGAAAAGGTGGAATTCCAGTCAGATGTCTGTGTTTCCAGAAATGTGATGCCTTGCCTCTCTTAGTTGTCTGACAAAGAGTAGTAAGGAGTGAGTAACCTGACCCTCTCTCTCCTCCTATAAGCGATTCTTTTTGCTCTTCCTTGCATTATATAAACAAGATTGCCTGGTGCTGTTTCTCAGTTCTGCATTTTTTTGTGTCGAGGTGTGACGGAGTTGCCTCTTTGTCTTAGGTCATCATTGCCTTCGGAGTTCTCTGTGTTTACTACGTGTTTTCTTAGCTTAGACTTCCATTGACTTTGAGAAATATGAGTTTATGGAACACAGGAAGACATGACAATTCAGAATAAAACCATACATACGTTAAACACAAAAGTTACCAGCATTAAGAATTAGAGAGGTCCATATGATAGTACACATTACATGAACTGTAAAGAATTTGTGCTATGATTCAGTTATGGTTTTGTTTTTAAGTGAGGCTGTATAGCTCAGATGTCTGGTTTGGTACTTGTCACCTGACAAAAAGCAAATAAGGAAAGAAATGAGTGCCAAAAGAAATACTTTCTCTTGCTCGTATTTGATGTGAAGACTCTACACACCTTACCAGACAGGAGGTACCGGAAACTTCGAAGAGGTAGTTGCATCCAAGAGATCTCAAGCACCTTTACGTATTCTGGGAAGGGGATCAGTAAGCCAGGCAACTAATGCTGTTTGGGGATTTCAGTCCTTCTGAAATGGTTATGTATACTGCCTACAAGACAGTAAGAAACAATGCTTTACATGATATGACCTGATCACTGTGATCTCTATTCAGAGCAGGAGAGTTCCTCAGTTAACTTTTAACTCCCTGTTTAAAGGTTGAGCTGTCTATGCAGAATGATGTGTGGAATATCTTCTGCCCTATTTTCCCCACTCTACTGAAAGATGGTGTTAATTTTAATCTCTGGGCAATCCACTGCTGGCAGACAACTGTACCCAAAGCACAGACTCCATTAATGTAGCGAGGTTGTATATTAAAGGAACAGAACACTTGTTTCCCAGAAGGTAGGCATTAAAGACATGGCTGGAGCTGGTTGAGGACAGAGAAAGGACCATAAAACCTTCAAAGTACAAAATATTGTAACTGCTTTTACCTTTCGGAAGTCAGTAGCTTCACTGGATACCGAGATGCCTCTGGTTAATGTGAGGGTCTGAAACAATGCTTGCTGAGGCCATGTCACTGAGATGATTTGCCAGGCTTGCAAGACCTGTAGAGCTGATGCAGCACATCATACTTCATGGATAAAAGGTGCTAAGCTTGTTGCCAAGAGTTTTAAAGATTTCTGTAAGGGAAGTTCCCAGAAGTGATTCATTCCTGTTCAGTGTACACAGAAGGATGTTCAGCCTGGCAGGCCAGGCTTGCTTGCAATGTTTGCACTCAGGGAAGACTAGTTGAATGTTGACTGAACCTAGTTACTTGGAGACCTCATACGAAAATACAATAGCATGAACCTGAGATTGTCTGTGGGAGAGGTTTTTCAAGAAGCAGTGTTGTCATATTGGTCCGTGGACTTGGACCATGATTTTTTGTTTGCTTGCTTTCTAGAGGTCTAACATTTGTACATTTTCTTTAAAAATACTCTTTAGGCATGTTGGTAAATATAATGGGGAGTGGAAAAGTGTGCCATCTCTCCCTGTACATAGAAATAACTCTTGTGTTTGTAGCTAGTGAGAGACTCCACAGCCAGGGCAAAGGCAATGAAAAGGAAATGCTGTGCTGTAAACAGTGAGACATCTTCTGATCTGTTCATTTATATCTCTCCTGATGAAGCCAAAGAAAGATAAGTCCCAGTTTAGGTTATATTTCTCACGGGTGCTAAAGAGACGGTGGTAGAACTGGAAAACTGGTCTCCTGGTTGCAGTATGAAGTTTCAAACGGGGATTTTTTTTTTTTTTTTCCCTGTGTATGTTTTATACTTGCCGTATACTTACAGCGCTGTAAAAGAGAGGATTCTTGCTGGAGTTGGACAAGCTGAATGAGAAGAAAAACTAGTTTGCTTAGTACAAAAAGTTAAAGAGCTTTAAGCCCTCAAATCCTTCTCTTCTGCACTCCCAAGCACTGCCATGGCTGAATTCAGGGACTTTTAAAGCCTAAATGAGCTTGAGTAACAGTAAAAGTCCTTTCAAGCCTCCTCAAGGAGCATAAGGTTGTGATTTCCTTCTGCTACTGGCTTTGTTTGCTAATTTGGGGTAGGTTATGGTACTCTCCCCCAGATGAATGACAGGCCACAGAAATGAATCAAAATACTTGGAGGCTTTTTTGTTGCCTTGAATGTCAGCTCCTAGTTACATCTGCTTTATTATCAAAATGTGGAATTTATTTGTTACTAAAACTTGGAATGTGGCGCAATTGAAAACCGCAGACAAAGCAACTCGAACCTGAGCTGAAATCTCCCTGTTTCATTCCACAGCAATTGGGTAAACCAGTTCAAATAAAATTAAGGAACTCTTCAGTTACCACATGGCAGGTCTTGCATGTTTACCTCTCCTCTTCTGCATTAAACCAGCAAACACCAAAACTTTCAGTGTAATACTGCAGCATTTTGAGTTTCTCATAGTGATAAAAAACATTGTCCTATGGTTTCTTGAGCATTTTTGATCTTCCCGAAAGAGAACTTGTCTTTTGTTTCCTACTAACATTAATGATCATGCTGGAAAACAAGACTGGAAAACTGTTACAGTCCTGCAGAAGTAAAACTGCTCCTGGGCATTGTACTCCAGGAGAACAGACACCAAAGGAATGTGAGACAAATGGAAGAAAATTGGCTGGAAGTTTCTGATGCCTGGGCAATTCATGGTGGAAAGCAGTTAAGATGCATTTGGGAGAGCAACAGTCAGCATTCATTTCAGTAAAACCAATTAAGCTAAAACAACAGAAGAAACCAGTGTGGTTACATGAGAAGTGGAGTCAAACACAGGGCAGTCTAAGCAATGGAAGAGTGGAAGTTATGAAAACAATAAGAACTAAGCAAAAAAAGAACAATTAGAACAGCAAAGAAAAATAATGATTGTCATTTCAAAACACAGAGCAACCGGCCAACCTGTTCCCTTAGACACTTTATGTGTGTCCCAGAAAATGCCCACCCCTACCTCCCCTGCCCCACATACTATTCAGCCAGTTCTTCCCAAATCAAAAAAAGAGCAGATCATTTGCTGGAAGTCATCAGCATGTTATTTATAGATGGATTGGGCGTAAGAAGCTACCCTTACAACAACTGTTGCTTGCACTTTACATACATTTTACCCCTGATTCAAAGCTTAAGTTTAACTGCCCATGTTGTTATTTAATAAGCAAAACTTAGAAAATACAGCTGGCTTAATTTAGTCTGTGTGAGCTAGCCTGAAAACTGTTGCATGGACAGTGGAGGAGCAGGAAGAGCTGTCTAAAGATTATTCCATTGATGGTCTTAAGTATGCATTTGGCAAATTACAGGTAGTTTTGTACATGTTCCTGTCTAATTCAATAAGAAACTATTCATTTAATCTCTCTTTGCAACTGAGGTTGGCCTTATCCTTCTTAATTGTCAAATCTCCCTTCTATTCTTCTTCTGAAGGAAAGGAAAACTTTATAGCTCATAATCAACTCATGAAAAATGTATTCTGTGATGTTTCTTTCTTGTCTGAGATCTTGGAATGCTTCTGTTTGTCTCTGGGTCTGTCAAGTACAGGGAGTTTCTTCTCAAGGGCAGCAAATGTAAAGCTACTACTGCAAGATATGAGCAATTCTCTAGCCTGTTTTCAGAAATCTTACCTCCCTGACACACAAATTAAACAATCAGGCGATAGGAATTCAGTAGGGCACAGTGTAATTTTTTTCTCTTTCCTATTTCCACTCTTGAATGAAATGATTTTGCTGGCAAAAATCAGTGTCTGTAACAGTTGTGAACTGTTCACCCTGCTCTGGAAAACTGGGTCTGTCTTGAACTCTATTTGTCCTTCAGCTTATGAAAGTGGCCATCAACCAAGCCTGTGGAAACTGAGCTTAGTATAAACAGCATGTGAACAATATTAATAAAAGATCTTATCCTGGGGAGAGGCTCCTTGCAAATCATTTCTGAACTGGTAAATGCTCCTAAGAAAAGAATATAGAGCCTAGTTTTTGGTGGTGGAGCCAGTAGGGATGATGGTGAGCTTATGATATGGGTGGGGAAAAGGGGCATAAGAGCAGGAGTAAGTATTCAATTAGGTCATGCAGCAAGGCACAGTGTTCTGCCTGTGGTGGAAGAGAAATGAAAATACTGTAGGCATAGGACAGTAGTGTTTGTGTAAGTATTGCTGTAACACAGCATTCAGGGTATGTGTGGGACTAGAGTGGATTAAAAATATTAGAGGAAGGTGGAGCGAGAGCTTAGGAGCACTGATGTGAACATGTCTGTTGTGGCCTTTCTTGTACCTTGGGATGTGGAACACTGTTGGCTTTGCTGTGGCAGTCATGGAGCACTGGCTGTTGTGTGACACCTGTCCTGACTGAGTAAAATGGTCTTGAAGCTCCAGATAAAAAGTTTGGCCACCTCTGGCTTAAACTGTGGAACACATACTTGTTGCATTTATGGTATTAGCTTGCCTGAGCAAAGGTGTGAAAATTCAGTCCAAAATGGTTTTCAAATGTGGAAAGAGTATTACAACTTCCACAATCTGTTTCATGTTTGCAGTGAAACCTGAAATCTGTAACATGTTTCCATGTTAATTTTTAGTTGTAAATACTTTTTGTAGCACTGAAACTGTAATTCCAGTTTCTCCTGTCAGCAAGCCTACCCAAACAGTATTACTGACAGATTTCCAAATAGTCTCATTAGAAATTCAAGGTTGCTACAATATTAGGGAAAGAAATGGACAAAGAACAGACTAAAATGGATAGGACTTGTAAAATGACATCTCTATGGGATTAAAAGTTAATCGAGTTTTGAGGAAAAAACTAATATGGTTAAGGTGAGACAAGGAGAGTGGGAGAAACTTATTTTAACTCTTTCTTAGCTATTAGTTTATTTTGAATGACATTGAGCAGCTGAGTTAACCAGATATTGCTGTGGTTTCCCTACTTGCAGTACAAACATGCCAGTATTAGTATGCAACTCTGATACGAGAGCTTTCTGGGTTGGCTTTTGGGATCCTCATTGTCTACATGTAAAATCTATGTTCATATTTGAACTCTCTTCGTGATCTCATAAACTGAGGAAAGAGAAGTCCCCCTGTCTTGCTTCTCCCTTTCCATTTTGCAGCTATTAACACAATAGACCCAGAACCACTACATGTGTATTTTTTAGAATTTGAACTTCAAAAGCCAAGTGCCTGATTCTCATGAGCACAGGTGCTCTTTGAGCTGACACACTGGTGTCTTTAACTGGACGCTCGTGTTTAGTGGTTTCTACTGACAGCATAGCCTGTTTCTTCTTCATGTAATATCATTGAATGTATAGAATACTGTTATTGCATGAGGGTCTTGGAAATGGGGGTACTGGAATAGGTATCAGGGAAGGTTTCTGTAGATGTGAAAAATATGTTCATTGGAGGGCTTAGCTCTCACAGCTAGCTACGCAGCAGAACAGAAAGCATTTGCAGAAAGAGAGCCTGCTGCAAACTAGGGCTGTTGTCACTTGCTCATCTCGGCTGTTTTTCTGATGGCAGTAGAGCTCATGAGATCTGCTTCTTTATAGAAGGAAAACTGTGTTTTGTAGCAACACGTCTTGTGCCTGCCACAGCATTTGCGACTACTGGCTGGAAGAGATTTGAAATACTGAGATGGTTTCAGTGTCAAAGAGGAAATCTTCAGAACTTCCTTTTCTCAGGGACTTTAGATGTTTATTGTGCCTTCTATTCTGGAACAAGGGTTTTTTTCCCCTCTCACATTATGTCCTACTCTGAACACCACAGTAGGTTAGCATGAAACAGTGGCCATGGCCAGCATGTCATGTTATGTGACTGCACACAAAAGTCCTTTTCCCTTATCTCTTTGTCAGCTCAGGTAAACAAAATCCTCTTTAAAGTGTTTCTTGATATGCCTTCTGTGTCTTCCTAGCCTCTAATTATGCTGTGGCCAGTGCTAATTGGTGTGCTAAAAATATGCACACTGGGTTACCTGCACATTGCTATGAAGAACCAAAGATCTCACAGCCCTTTCCTGCAGCAGAAAAAATAAGTTCCTAATGTTTTTTTAGCCAGGCTTCAATTTTCTTAAAACTTGAAGAAATCAGGTTATTTTTCCAGAGTTCTTTCAGTTTTTCCACACTTAGTTGAAATTTGTCAACAAAACTTTAAGTTAGTTCTGGAAAACCATAGCATAAATTGTAAGTCTTACTTTCTTACAAAATCAAGTTGAAACAATGAAAAATCCCTGAAAAGATAGGCTTTAAAGAAATTCCCATAAGCTTACATTTGTGCAGTATCTAAGAACCAATCTAATAGGTGGGTGTGGATTAAAACCTACATAAACCAGGAAAAGTAGATAAACAAATCACTTCCCTCTGTTTCAGGCAGGGTGGAGACGACGTTGATTCACCAGCTCTGGTTTCCCTTCATTCCACTCAGTCTATAGAATGTCCATGGGCAGTTTTCTGCCATTGGTGACATTTTAGCTTCTGCCATTGGTGACTTTTTAGCTGCATGTGTCTCTAAGAAGGTCTGGGATAACTTTCCTGGATGAAATCCAGCACTCTTGTAACTCCTTAAGCATCCTTTTTCTGCACTGTCAGATACCCTTTTGCATGGTATAATCTGACAGCCCCTTCTTGTCTTGGGGCTAAGGATAAAATAAAGCTTCTGCCGCATTTCACCCTAAGGTTAGCAAGACCAGTCTGCCTTCTGGGTTCAGCTTCTTGGTGCTTCAAGCTTGATATTGGGTACCGGCAGCACAGTGCAACCCGTGCTGCACATGTCAGGATTAGGGTTTTATCTTTACAGATGAAGCAATCTCAGAGTGTCTGCTTCTCTCCCTGTTCTCTGCCTGTCTTCCCCCTCTCCTCTCCCTGTCCTCTCCCTCTCCTCTTCTTTCAATTGCTTTATCTACCATTATTTGATATCCTGAATTTAATTGAAGGGTGTCAATATATCTTAAGTGGATTTGATTCTGCATTCATTTGTGGCTGTAACTGGATCCACTTGTATGGGTGTAAATCAGGAGCAACTTCCCTCAAGTCCCTGGGAAAATCTGGGTGATATCTTAATAAGATTCCATGCATAAAAACAACAGATTCAGTTCGGTACTTAGAAGGTCTTCATTCTGCCTTCACGTAGAATATGAAAGTCTTAGAGTTTTTATTGTTATACTAATTACAGATGCGTATGATTGCATCAATACATGCTGTATACAACCAGTTCTCTGTGTTTTTGCTCTTAGTGCAACAGCATCAATCTTACGAGCCTGGCTCAATCAGTGCTCTGAGGATTTCAGAGAGCCGCCCAACTACCCATGTCTGCTGAAGCTGCTGGATTACCTAAAGAAGAATATATCTGGCTCTGACCCAGAGAGAAGGGCGCAGAACCTCTTGGAGCAGTTCCAGAACCAAGAAATGGAAAATGACAGTAAGTTACCTTTCCCTTCTCTCAAGAGTGTAAGGTATCACAGGGATTTAGGTGGAGTACATTTCATCAACTCTCATGCTAATTGACAATGTTGTGAGGTGCACCAGTGACCTTTCTCTTAAAAGCAAAACAAAACCAAACAAAACCAAACAAAAAACCACCAACCAACCAACCAAAAAGCACAACAACAACAAAAAAACACAGCAAAAAAACCCTCTCTGTCTGACTCTGCAGGTTCTGTGCAGGATGACACTTGTACTACGTAGGTGCCTATGCCTGTTTATTCTGGGGTATATTGGGAAATCCAGCACTTCTCTAATATTGAGCCAGAGATCTGAGACTGCTGCAGCAGCTAAATGGTTAATTGTCAGTGCACTTCCCATGTCATTGAGATAAAACACACAGCTGCTTTTTGGCTGGTCTTCTGATTTCAATGCACCCCCCCCCCCGCCCCCAGCACCCCCAGGAAAAGCCCAAATCAACAAAAAGCAAAATATAGAGCTGTGACAAAATACAGCTTGAGTCACAAGCCTTGTTGTCATGAAGCTTTTCTTCCTAGTTACCGTCATGTCAAAGGAAGTGTCTGTGGCTGTTTTTTCCTATTTGAGTGGCTGGTATCCAAGGACAGAGGAAAACCTTACGTTATTGGGGGTCAGAATCTACTGAAAGAAGAGTGAACTGTAGTAACACATGTATGCTGTGTGCAGCAACAAGCCTGACATATACCCTTATCCTGGTCAGAAAGCTTCCTGTGACGTAAGCTGAGGAGTCATAGAAGCTCACGTAGTGCGTGAATGAGAACTAGAATCAACTTCCAGCTTTGGTAGAGGGGTGAGAGGGAATAATTCATGTCATAAAGCATAAAGGGAATGACAGGAAAAAAAATATTTCATCCCGTAAAAATCATGTCTGCCGGATGTTCCAGAAATACCATGCCAATGCATACTACTGTGAAATGTCAAATTAATTCAGTCATTAAAATGTACATAAAAAGGAGTGCTATACAGAGCCCAGGCTTTTTCCGTCTTGAAAGCACATAAGTGAACAGGATTGCTAATGTGTGCCTATTGATGTCCTTTCCTGGGTTTGGTTCCCTCATGTCAAAGAAAGCTTACAAGAACTGTATTTGGGTTCCTCTGTTGTTCCAAGCAATCAGAAGTTCCCAGCATCCCTACTTCTGCATTTGTTTCCTCCAAAGCGTTCAAATTATGCTATGAATTTACAAATTTGGGTCCTGACCCTGCTAGGTGAGCCAGAGACTGCAAATTCAGAAAGGGTGCATGACTGCTGTCAGTGAAGTCAAGCGGGCCACTGGGCTTTGAGAGGGCTAAATGGATCAGAGCTATTTGAAGATGATGAGATACTTGAGTAGAAGAGAATTCCAGCTTCTGGGAGAGTAGGGAAAAGACTGGTTACACAGCCATGAAGAATGAGTGAGAGAGAAAGGAGGAAGAGGCATGAAAAAAGAAAAGGGAAGTCTTGTGTTGCACTCCAGGACCTGGTTTTAAGGGCACTGTGAGGCTTTGAATAGGGTTGCAACTCAGTGATGCAGATTTTCAGTTGAATTTCAAGAGCTGAATGGAAAATGAGGAGTCACATAGCAAAAAAGAGAGAAAAAAGTGTGACTCTTGTAATGGTTCACTAGAAGTCCATTTAATTATGCATAATGTTATGAAACAGCCACAGAAAAATAATGCTGAAACAGAGGTCTCCCTTTATTGCATTTAGCTCTGTCAATGAGTGGTGCAATTACAATGTGCAGGTGGAAATCTGGATACAACCTGTAGTTACAAGTTGTTACATCAAAACTGTAGCAATTTACATTCACAATTAGGTTTTGTTGTTACTTAAGGAAGGAAAGAAAAGCAAAGTATTTTGAAAAACAGTGATGAAGTATCACTTCGTCTGCTTTTGCTGGTTTGATGTCTATTCTGCTTAAACTGGGTATAAAGTATTGCATAAAATACTCTGAAATGCACTGTTGGTGTTGTTTAATGAAATCTCACTAGCAGTAAACTCAGTACCTTTGTCGATAGTCTTCAACCAGTCCATTTTTTTTCCCCTCCCTTCTTATGGAGTTACTGTCACCTTACGGTAAAAGAGATGAGGAAGAGGATTTATTTTTAGGGATTTTCTGTTTGACTTCCTCCCCTACCATGGGAAACAAGGGCACATTTCTTTGTGTTTAATGTGGCTTTGTTCTCAACCTGTGGGAGCCAAAAAGAGATTTGGGAAAAATATGTGAAATTCCTTCCCTTCTGCACTGGATCAAGTACCTCAGTGAGGACAGCTCTCCTCTCCCACCTCTTCACTCCTGCCCAGTGCAAATTTAGAAGCAGCATTCAGCAGAATATTTGTAGGTGCTCACTGTGCTCCCTTTTTCTGGGAAAAATGCCTGGAGAGGGAAGGTGAGGGATGATGAAATGAACTCTCTTCAATATAGTCCATGTAGCCACAAGTGGCTCTAAGAAATCTGGTATCTCATAGAATCATAGAATAGAATAGTTAGGGTTGGAAAGGACCTTAAGATCTTAAAGTTCCAACCCCCCTGCCATGGGGAGGGACACCTCACACTAAACCATATCACCCAAGGCCTCGTCCAATCTCCTTTTATTTCCACACATGGGAGATGAAATCTGGATATAAGAGCATTCTTAGTGCAATATTTTGGGGATATAATTGCATACTCATCCATTTACAGTTTGATTATTTATTTTTTTTTTTTTAGATTATAAGACATAAATATTGAAAAGTAGATTAACAAAATTCTGCAATGTTAATAAGGAATTGGGGTGGTGGTGATGAAGTTTTTTCTTTTGGAGGAATGTTTAACAAATGGGCAAAGCCACTTCTCTGCTAAGAGACTCTAAATACCTGAATTCTTTCTAACTGTTTCTTTATCTTCCAGCTTTTCTTTGCCAGTTCAATCTTAGGGTCATCATCTTTCTCACTAAACTATGCAGCAGTGTTGCATTTGCATCAGGCTGGAGTGTTCTGCTATAATATGTGCAGTGATGTCTTAAACAAACACCTGCTTTAATTCACTGTTTGCTGTATAAATTTACCAAGTCATGTTTTCCGTCCTGGACAGATGAGTTCCATAACACTTCCTCCAGTAACCAGTGTGATGAGGAACAGCTGGAGATCTGCAGTCCAGAAGAATTCTCTTCTTTCCAAGAGTACCTTGTGGCAGAACAGTTGACATACATGGATGCAGTATGTAGAGCATACGTACTACTTGAAATGCTGGTGGAAATAGGGCTGGGCTTCTAAATTTTGTTTATTTATTTATTTATTTTTAAGTTTTGCATCAATGTAAGAATAGTGTTCCAGAACAGGTCTGTTGTTGGGACACAGAACACACCTCTGCTTGGTTATCCAAACTTGCTTTCTTCATTAAGCTCTTTCCTTTAGTCCTTTGTGTTTTTGTTGTTGTTTTGTTTGGTTTTGTTGCTGTTTTGGTGTTGGCTGTTTTTGGTGTTTTAGGTTTTTTTAAGTGTGAAATTACACTGTACAGCCTTTTTTGCAAAGTTTAATATTTGGCACCTGAGAAGTAGCACATTTTGGCTATATTGCTGCCTGGCCTGAAGATGTATAGGTACTCTCAATTGTAGTGCTCTGATTTGGTTTGTCTGTATCAAACTCCTTCAAATTATCATCTTGTAAAAAAATTTCCCCTTTGGTTGTGCATCCGATATAAAGGTGTCTCTTCTTTTCCCCGGACTATTTAGCTGACAAGTTAGGGCATCAAGCCTATAAAGAATATGCCAAAGTATGTATTTTAAACTAAGTGAAAACAACTATTTACGCTTTATTACCATATTATATTTATATCCAATATGTACTGTAAACACGCATTTCTTCTTGTGGACAGTAGAGATCTTTGAGAATCATGCTGACTTAGGCACCTCTGTTTCACTCTAGGAACTCTTCAAGAAAGTTGTGCCACACCACTGCTTGGGATGCATCTGGTCTCAAAGGGATAAGGAAGAAAACAAGCACGTGGCACCTACCATCAGAGCTACTATCTCTCAGTTCAACGCAGTTACCAACTGTGTTGTCAGCACTATCCTGAATAACAAGGAACTCAAAACACAGCAAAGAGCCAAAATCATGGAGAAGTGGATTCGTATTGCACATGTAAGGCATTTGTTCTAGACTGTTTAATCTTGTGCTGGGTGCCTTGGATTGAGGCAGTTGGAAGGGGAGAAGAAGGTTGTATGCATTGGCCCCAGGCCAGTGAACATCTTGGCTCTGATTCTTTATGGTTTTGACTGACTTTCTTTGTAATAGCAGATGAAGTATTGCCCTTCTCTCCTTAGTTCCTTCCCCATCCTGGGAAGAGGGCTGTTGCTTGTATCTTGACAATGTTGGGAGTGCTACTTGAAGGGTGTCAGATACTGTGTCTTGCAGATGGGAAGTGCCATGTACTTGATAATGTAACATTTATGGTAAGATAAGTATGAATTCAACCAGTTCACTTCCCTAGAAAGAAAATACTGCTCGTATCAGTGAAAGCAATTAAGGGATGGTTGATATCATCCAAAGGTTAGACTTGCTTTCAGAAGAAAGTTTAACAAGAATGGAGTAGGACTAGCAGTGGTGCAGGCAGTAGCCAGATTCGGAATAAGCTTTGCGCTTATCCGCGTCTGGCCATTCATGGTTGGTCAATGAGCATCATGCTCCCTCTTCTGCATCTGAACACCACGTGGGCTGAAATCAGACATGGTGGGAGATACATCAGATATATGTGGGGGGCCATGTCAGAGGCCTTACAGAAGTCCAGATGACATCAGTAGCTCTTCCCTTGTCCACTGAAGGCCACTAGATTGTTCAGGCAGGACTTGCGCTTGATGAAGCCATTTTGGCTGTCTCCAATCACTTCCCTGTCCTCTCTCTGCCTTAATATAGTATCTAGGAGGATCCTGTAGCAGACTGCATGTTTGTTAATCTTTGCGTGAAAGGGTTTTGTGTGCCCTTTTCTACATAACTCTGGTTTGCTTAGATTTTGTCTTTAATATCTTACTGTAATGTTTTTAACTCCCCTCAGAGCACTGGGAAGCTGGCAGTAAGCTCGATCTCTCTTTTTGAAGAGAACATTTAAAGCACTTTTGTATGAATACGTATTGACTTTTATTTTAAGAATCACATGGATTCTTTCCGAGATATACAAAATAAGCAGTCATAAAAAGCTCAAGGCAAATAGAGGTTTTCCAACCTTGACAATGCACTTCTATGCTTCCAGAGGGGCAGTATTGTTAGTCCTGGCACCTAAGCTCTGGCAACTGCATGGTTGAGGAAACTGGTATGGGGAAATAGACTTTCACCTCTTTTGGCACTTACACCAACTTGTGTTATCATCTGATGGCTGCTTTATAAGCCATGTGAATGGATTATGAAGTTTGATTCTGGTTTTCTGTGTGCAGATCTTTAAACTGCAGATGATAATAGCTAAAGCAGGCTTTATGGGCGGCCTGGGCCACAGCCTGGGCAGATGAGTACGAAGCAGCCTTCTGCTCATCATGGGGCAGCAGGGAGGCCTGGGGAAGCCAGGAGAGGCATCACTCTTATCAGATGTGTTCTGTGGATGGTGAACTTCGTTTTCCACCTGTGCTGATTCAGTACTTCTCCCTTTACTTAATTCATGCACATAGTGAAATACGCCAGTCTTAGCTAAGCACATGAAAATGCATGTGCATGCTCTACAAAATAACTGCATATGTAGAATAGCTGGTTATATATAACATCTATACTTAGCTGTCCACTTCTGAAGCAACTTGCTTGCTTTTTGCATGCAAATGAGTGTTTTGAATAGTTAGGAGCCTGAATTAGAAAATAAGCCACTCATTAGTGTGCAGTTACACGCTGACAACTAACTGTAACTTAGCAGCATGGAGTTCCACATTTGTTACTGTTAGTGACTTTTGGATCCAGTTTCTTGGTTTAAAGATAAACTGAGTAATTTCTCTAACTGCCAGCCCTCCAGACCTCTCCAGTCTAGCCAGATCTAAGGTTCCTGAGCAGAAGCAGCCAATCTCACTCACACAACATTTTCTTTAAAAATAACTGAAATAATTAGGATCTTGTTATGCTTCATTTTTTAAAATCAAAGTTGCTTCTGCACAGGATTCTTTCTGGTATTGCTCTTGTGAAGGACACAGCATGAAACAGTTATTCAAGCCAGTCTTAAAAATACTTCTTCTATACAGATGAAAACTTGCCGAAGTTTAGTCTGCAATCAGTTAAATTACTGAGAACACAAAATCCAATACTGAATTCTTAATGTGTTTTAAATTATGCAACAGGCAGTTAAGTCAAGATGATTCCAAATTGAATCTTCCAGTCCATACTCCTGTTGTATTTGGAATAAAAGAAATGCTGAAAATTTGTGCCTGTTCATGTTCTTTCCAGCCTGAATTTCAAGTTGAACATAAAAAAAGGAGCTCATTCTTAAATGTGTCAGTCTCTGAGGAAGAGCTGTTATGTGGCTTCTTTGTCACCAGTCCATGCAAGAATAGCTTTCAGATCTTGTGCGTCCTACCGCATGATCTTGAACTTGGCCTTTATCTAGCCAGACTGCATATCTACCTCAAGTGCTGTCTGCCCAGTCAGTCTTCTTAAGCCACACTATAAATGTGGCCTTCTAAGTTGCAGAAATACTTTTTTATTTTCTTTCCCTTAGGTAAATAAATGAGAGTAAATGTACGTGTCTTAATTGTTCAGTCAGTCTAAATGCAACTCATGAACAGAGTTGCTGATACAGTAAGGTCTGACTTTTGTTTATGCTAAGGTTGCTTTACATTTGTTCAGTCCAATGAAGGAAACAAATCATGTCAATTTTCACTATAAGGATCCTTTACATAATCAGCATTATCTGTGTTATAATCAGACCCATAAAAATTTGCAGAAGCAAGAATTGTAGTTTGAGTACATTCTCATCTACATGCAACAGTCAAATTGGCAGGTGTTTTGTCTGCTTAATGTGCATGCACAGTGTTTGTGAGAGCTTGTATTTGCAAGAGTTCCTTAAGTCATTGGTGCCCATGCTCTAGTTCATGGGTCACCAGCAGATTGCCAGGAAGGCACCAATAGATTGCCTTGAAAAGTCCAAGGCCAGACTTTCTCCCTTCTCCTTGCTTCGATCTGCTTTACCAGGAATCTGCTGGGGTTTTGAGAGTTAAGCTTTTCAGTATCCTTTTGCATCAAAGCTTTTGCCACAGAGAAGCTGCATAAGAGTTGTCAATGAACCAGCCTCTCGGCTGACATTTGATCACAACTCTGGAGAGGCTGGAAGGGTTTTTCTCTTTAGCTGTGTATGTACTTGAATAACAGGCTATTCCTGTGCATGTCTTTATTTATAATTGACAGGTGGATGATTGAGGGTAACATTCTAAATACCACATATGAAGAGGCAAAGCCTGCTTCTTCCCCTAAAGGGTAAAAGGGATTGGTAACTCTAAAGAGCTTTCTAAGAGGTGTAACATTTGTGCTTTTTAGCTCTGCTTCATGGACTGGGTTCCCCTTTTATTGTTACTAGGAGAACTGAAAGCTGTACCACTAAGATGTCACCACAAGTACATGCAAGTGAGGAAAACACGATAAAAGTGCCAAAGACTGAAAGTATTTTGTGGCTGGAGGAGGAAGTGATATTTTTGATGCTCAATATTTGCACTGCTGCCTGCTTAGATGTGAGAATGTGTAGCAAGCATGACACCAGTCAAACAGAAGAGCATAAATGTATTTGTAATGCTGACATTTAATGCTCCCATGTTTCTAATGGCTTCTTTCACAGGAATGTAGGATCCTGAAGAATTTTTCCTCCTTAAGGGCCATCATTTCAGCTTTGCAGTCCAACTCCATCTATCGGCTGAAGAAGACCTGGGTATGCATTCCAAAGTAAGCCTCTCGCTCTGCTCCTGTGGCCAGTCCCAAACAAAGGCAAAAAGCTCATTGTTCTTTCTTTTCATCTTGTTCTTCTTAGCCTTCCTATTCTGCTCCTTTGTGGACATCTGTTCTGTTAGAACTTTTCACTCCTGTGGGGCTCAGACCCCATTTTTTGGGTCTGACTGCTGTGAGCTCTCTTACATATCGAGAGGACAACTTGCTCTTGGGGATAATGGGTCTGTTCTGTCCTTTATGGCTTATTGGATCTTCCAAAACCTCTTCCAAAAAACTGTGGTACCAGCTACTTGACCAGATCCTGCACACTGCTCTCAGATGGTCAGCAAAAGAGCCCCATGATACTTTTCTATTGTCTTCTTTCCCATGAAGCTGGAGGAGGTCCAGGTTGCTACAGCCCTCACTAATCCTCTCCTGGTCCAGACCTGTCCTTAAATATATCCCCAAACAACAAAATCCAAACATGTATTAAAGACAGTACTTTGTACCTGAGAGTACCTGGCATATTTACTGCATGCCAAACAGACACCAGAAATCTCCTTGTAGGAAAGATGGTGTTCTGCTCATTCAGTTTGAGAGGAATAGATTTCTTTTCTTTGCCTTTGATAAACAAAGGAAGATGTCACTGCCAGGCAGTAGAGTTCTGCAGTTCTCCTAGAGAGGTGGATCTTTTTTTCCATTGCCCTGTGTTGCTGTTCCTGGTCAAAATATTGCCATCTTGTAAACATAATGTTGGACAATAGAAAGGGACTTGTTCACTTAAATGCTTCTAGCTTTATAGAGTGCATGGAATAGGGCAAAACCAAAGTATGTAGGATACCTCAGACAGCTTTCTGTCCCTTGTATCCATTGACATCCTTTCTTACAGCAGCCTCATAGCCTGCAGTGTAATTGAAAACCCTGCTCAGGATCTGCGTACCTATGGTATTTCTAAGTGATGCTGTCAAATAAGACCCAACTTTACTGGGAGCGCCAGGAAGGATCCTAGTAGACATGCAGCATCTCACTGGATGCTGTTTGGTTGTGTAATCTTTTTATATGCCCAACTGTAAATGGTTAGTGAGAAAAAAACAGTGATCTGATCTATTTAGAGTGCTTACTAATGACTCAAATTATTTACTTTTTTCCTGTACAGGGACATAATGCTGATGTTTGAAGAGCTGGGTGGTATCTTCTCAGACCATGACAATTATCTGACAACCAGGGAACTACTGATGAAGGTGAGAATTAGCCAAGTTGCAAGGCTTATGATCTCAGTTAAAGCTGAGGTTAATGTTTTTTCTAACCAGCTGCCAAGGCTCATCTCCTCCTGAACTACTGTATGTGGTGCTTCAGGGGAGACAGGTCCATGAGACCTGTGCTTTTCTGTTGGGCTCAGAGGTGATTTCATTGTTCCTGAAAAAAAACTACACTAGCATTACCCTGTTGAGCTTGAATACCCACAAGCAGCAGGCTGCAGCAGCACAGATTCACAAGACAGCAGGTCAGGATCACTTGGAGCCCTTCAAGTTGAATGTCACACTGCTGTAGTTTGGTAAGGCTCCTTTGGGTGTGGTGAGGTCTAGCTCCAGAATAGCTCTATGTGCTGTATTGCACCTGCAACAGCGCTGGAGCCACAAACAGAGTGAAGAGGTGCTGCGTGATGTAGTTTTGCTGAAGAGGGTTACAGGTTAGCGCTTTGGCTTTATGCTGCTCTGTCTAGAGAGATAAGCCTCTCTCTGTGTACCTCTTAGTAGACCTGGAAAGGCTCAGGTTTGCCTTGGTGAGTGCAGAGCGGCTCCAGATGAGATCCTCAACTGGGCTGCACCACTGTGCTACTTTTGACTTCACTGGAGCACTGCCACTCAGCTTCAGCTGAAGGAATGAAAGCAAGATGTTTATCCATCTATTCTGTAGCTTTCTCGGGCCTAGAAAACGGCACAAGGAATTTTGAAGGAACAGGCTTCCTGCTGTTGTGTGTGGCCAGATGGACAGCAAAGCAGGCTCTCTCTGAAAGTTTGACTTGTATGCTCTCCTGGGTGAGCCCCAAGTTCAGGAGCTTGAAAGGAGTGAGGAAGAACAGCAGGGAAAGGTTATATTCTGTAGAAAACTGAGGAATTCTTGCAGCAGTATTTTCTGTTTGCATAAAAAAGTTTCCAGAACCTGGCTAATCAGTTTACTTTTTGGCAGTTGTATCCAGTCATTCTGGCATTTGTACCTTACCCCCTTGCCTCAGTATCTGAAACACTGTGTTTTGCTCAGGAAGGATGGGTGAACACATTCAAACCTGTCAATCTGCTTTGTTTACCATGAATTATCCACCTCTGTCACTAAATTTTAAAGCAGGTAAGATATTTTGAAAATAGTGAGAGGGGAAAAATTCCACAGAATAGCTAGAACCTCTCTCCTACTTCTTGCCTTGGACTGCTTTGTAACGATTGGAGGGTTCATGTCCACTGAATCCTTAAAGCCTTTGTTTCATTTCACTATAAATAATCTCCCTAGGGAAGCTGTGTTTGACCTTGCCTATCCATCCTCCAAATTTAAATGCAGAGCAGATAAAATGCCATATGAGACAGGTCAGCTGGCACGGAGAGGGAGCACTGTCTTCTCCCCAAACAACAGCTCTGCTGCTGGCTGCAGTTTTAACTTCTGTGCCTGCCTGCTGGCTTCTGCTAGAGAATCTCGAGTTTACCTTTCAAGTATCCTGAAGATACTGAAACAACACTTCTTGTTCACTTGCTCCTGTGTTTTAACCAAGGAAGGAAATACAGTTTGAGTGATCTGTTCAGTAACTGTGACTGAGAGAACTAAGCATTGTAATGAGAAGCTCTTTACAAGTGCAGACTGTTGTTTTATGCCTCTTAAAAAGACACTGATAATGATTCATGCCCTATCTACCTTACCACTGGAAAAAAGTAACAGTAACTCCCAGCATCCCTTATGGATCCAAGGAAATAAAGGCTACAGGTATATTGTGAAATACTTCATCCATTCATAAGAAAGCTTATATTGCGGAGATAAAAACCTATTACTTTAGTTTCCTGTGTGTTTCTGGATTAGTAAATAAGCCACAGGGGGTAGTCGCTGGATCTCTATGTCGCGGCATAAGAAAAACAACAAAGCCTTACATAAGATAGAGATGTTTACTTGTAGTACTCCTGATTAGGAAATTTAACCAAAGTCCTGGGGTCAGGAGTTTCAGGATAGAATTCAGAGAAGCATCTAGACACCCGAAGTATATGTAAGCTGCTCTGATTTGAACTCTTGGGAGATTTTCAACAGCACTTAGCTTTGGTCTGAGTAGAGCCATTTTGCAAAAAAAAAATCCCTTATAGTCATCCTGTAGGATTTTGTTGAAAATACCCAATCAGTGTATAAGCCCCAGAAAATTAGCACACGTATACACACGTGAAGCTGCACAAAAAATGTTTTTGTTGGCCTGGCTTGCCTTGTTAAATGTATTTGCAATTGTTTTACACAAATGTAGTTGCCAGTTTACCACTTAGCTCCTCCATTAATTGCCCTTAATTCCCTTTTAACTCACAGGAAGGAACATCCAAATTTGCGAATCTGGACAGCAGTGTGAAAGAAAATCAGAAAAGGACACAGAGGCGACTGCAACTTCAAAAAGATATGGTGTGTTTGGAGTCCTTTTTGACCTGGTAACACGATTAACCCTAATTGGTGAATTATAGAAGCAGCAAAATCTAGAAAAGTATTTAACAAAGTGAATGATCTCTACTTAATACTTGTGAATATGCCTTCTGTCAAGAAAAACAATCATATCAATGCTACTGATTAGCTGATACAAAGCAAGTGAACCAAAAGGTTTAGACTGAGTATGTAGTCAAATTGTTTGTCCCTGTAGATACATGCCAGAAGCTGTACTGCCCTCATGCTGTGGATCATATTAAGCAAGTAATACGATGTGTGTGTACATATAACATGCAGAGAGAGAGAGAGGTGATCCCACACATGCATCCATTTTTCTGAGTATACAAACAATTACAAAGTGAGATTCATGCTGCACCCAGCTCAAACTGTTGTGGCCTAAGCTGACTTGTGACAGGAATGGCTTTTAGCGCAACCCAGCTGTCCTTTTACTTCAGCATCACCCGCCTGTGTACTGAAATGCTGGAGGAAATGGATATACAAAGCATCATCATTGGCAATGCATTCAGTGATCTGATGCTGCAAATGCTAAAAGATTGCAGGATTTGGTGGAGGTATGCAGGGGCCACTTTATGTTTCCTGTTGCCAGTCTTCCCCTGCAAGAGTTAAGTGGGTATATGGACTTGCTTTTCCCGTTCACACTTGAAAATGCTTAACATCCCAGCCTGTTCTTTGAGATGGACACTGAGCCAGGAGTTTGGCCTTAGTTTCAAGTTTTCAGATTTACTAAGCCTGTCATATAAAAAAAAGTAATAAATGATTGATGAATATAAACATGAGTTCCCAAGTTCCAACTCTCTTGTTTCTATCCTACAAGAAAGAATTCCATTAACTATTCTTGTTAACCCTTAGAGAGAAACACAATGAAAGCCATGCAGTAAAATACATAATGTAAATACTAAAATTCTTGTGATAAAGAAAATCAGCTGTGGCCAGAACAGAAAGCTTTTTACTTTTAAACAAGCTCATGAATCTTCTGCCATACTAGCTTGAAAATTGCACAGAGTTTTACAGAGATTGCTTTGTAAAACACATCTGGTTTCCAGTCTGTTGGTGAAAATGGCTTTCGTCTTGAAGTTGGCAAAGATTTAAAATAACAGGGGGAGAGAAATCTGCAGTGCTTCTGGAGGCAAAAGTACTGAATATGATATTCTGTCTATTTGTTTGGAAAAAAATATGGATCGTGTTGGATGGTACAAACAAGCATTTTGTTCACAAGTTAAGAAACAGCCTGAACTGCACAATTGCCAGCAGCCCAGAAAGTTTAAAATTTAAGTAATTAAAATGCAGGGAGGTTGGAACTAGATGATCTTAAGGTCCTTTCCAACCCTAACTATTCTATGATTCTAAAATATAATTTATAAGACCACTGTTTAAGCAGAGTACTTGTACTTCATTTTTTTATACAGGAGAATTCTAGCATTTTAATTATTACCACTTGTCAGTCAATCCAACATTGCTCTGATCATTTGCAGGGAGTAATGCAAGGCACAGTTCCTTACCTTGGGACCTTCCTCACTGATCTCATCATGCTTGACACAGCCCTTCCGGACTATGTTGAGGTAATTTGGCATGATTTTTTGAATCCTCCCTGCCTTCCCACCGTGTGTGTCTGTTCCCCTATCTTCTACTGGGAAGGAGTATGCAGTTTTATTAGCAACAAGAATCTTGAGTGCAGATATCTCAAGGGAAAAGCTTAGCATTGTATTTTGTCTTGTTTCCCTGTTAGAAAACGTGAAGACAGTAGGTTTTCCATTATTCTGTTTTATTTTCTGAAAACATTTTAGGTATAATGATTTCTGTGAATAACTGGTAAAATACACAGAATGACAAATTCAGCTCTTCAGACCGATCAGTGAAGTGCTTCAGTATTGACTCAGACTTGTCACTCTTGGCAGTTCCCTTCTGTCCATGCTTTGTGTTCAGTTGGTGAACTCACTGAGGAACACTGCTAAACTCAAAGCCCAGCCAAAAGCCAAATTTGTTTCTTGCATTCAAAATACTGCTAGTGTTCTTCAGAACTGATCTCAACACAGCTTTTAGGAGCACTCTTGTGCTTTTCCTTTTGGGCAGACTGCCATTTAGGCCATGAGGACAGATATCCTTTGGAGACTCAGATGAGTGCTGTGGTTTATACCAGGTATGAAAACAGCTATTTTTAGAAGGTGCTTACTCAGGGCAGGTCTGTGCTTTACATTAGCTTTGCTACTTCTTCCTGTTTGTGATGAAATTCAACTGAGCATGTGCTCTTCTTTTCTGATTCCTTCTCTTTCCTTCTAACAGGGTGGCCTGATAAATTTTGAGAAGAGACGAAGGGTAAGCTGAGCATTCTGTGATTTTTAGTTTAGTGATGCCCTCTTCTAGGGTGAGGCCATTTGTCTTTGCTCAGGCATATACAACAGCTGTTAATTTTAATTCAAGTTCATGAGGAAAGAATAGATCCCAGAAATGCTGTGAGCCTCTGCCAGACTGTGTGTGTGGCAGGGGGTGGTGCAGGAAGAGAGCCTACTTTTTAGGTGTGAGCAACAGGGGAAGAGGGGCTCAGGCCACTTACTTCCATGGGATTTACATCTGTGACATAAGACTATGTGTTGAATAAGACCTGGTGGCATGAGAACTTTGCATTCCAGAAGATACAGTTTGTAAATATCTTCCTTCTGCTGCAGTTAACTATTTGTAGGTAAAAGTCTGCAGAGAATGAACTAGGTACACAGGACTGAGAAATAAACACTGTCTTTCCTTTCAGCCTCATCCTTGTTGGTCAGATAGATAATGCTATGTAGGAGTAAAGGTACTAAGGTTGCATTTGTCTAAACTAAGTCCTGCCAAATCTTCCTTCTGGGGTCTGAAAGGAGACTTGGATTTGGCAGTGATGGAGCCATTTCCTTCCCTTAACTGCTTCCAGTTCTACAGGCCACTTCTTGGACTTGCCTTGTATGTACAGCTAAATAGCTCAGGATGCTAATAATGCAATACAGGTGCTTCTCCACGGCCATCAGTCCAGCTTCATACAAACCAGTGGCAAAGCTCAGCTCCATACCTACATCCTGATGCTATAACCTCCTCTAACACAAGGGAGTTTTAAGGGTTATTTTGGCAAAGTGTGCATGCGTATTCTAGTCACCCGTATTAAGGGTAGCATTTTACATTTGTCTGGTGCAAGTTTGAGCGCACAACGTGCAAAGTTGAGGAGGATCAGATTCTGCTTTCATCCCAGGCACCTCTAATTATTATCCTTGCTTGGTGCCTGAGAACCACTGAAGTTCAGAATATGATTCTTCTCTCAGAGCTGGTCTGGCCAGCACGGGGGTGAGAGGGCAGGTTAGTCTGAAGAATTTATGACCTTCGCTACTCTTGTTCCTAGAGGAACCACCAGCAGTGCTGCTGTTTGGAGGGTTTGCACCAGCATTACACTTCAGTTGGTACTTGGGAAAGGACTTCACTGTTTGAAAAACCCATTCTTGAAATTATCACTCAGCTAAAACTGAACTTCAGGTCAAACTAAATTTGTCCTGGTGCTTTTGGTCTCTGTGTTTATTATATGAATGAATTTTGCTTTATCTTGTTTTCTACTTAGAATTTATTTTTGATTATGTATTTTCATAGGAATTTGAAGTAATTGCCCAAATAAAGCTCCTGCAATCTGCATGTAACAGCTATTGCATGGCACCAGACCAAAAATTCATCCGGTGGTTCAGAAGGCAGCAGCATTTAACTGACAAGGAGAGGTAAGTTAAGTCCTACTGGCGAAGCAGGCTTTTCTTACTCCACACCCACCTGCAAATAGGTTATGTCAGCCTTTAGTTATCCTCCTAAAGGAGCTTGTATATACTGCTGCTCTGGGAGAGTGAAAATATATCTGCCTTCTGCTAAGCAGCTGTAGAAAACCTGTTGAACACTTAGCAGGGTTTAGTTTTGAAATTGGATATCAGACCTGACTTTAAAGTATGATAATCTGTTGGGTCTAGGCTGCCTGTATGCCCAGACACATGCTCAGACATTGATCCTGAGGGATGTCAAGATGCAGTCACTGAGCCTCCAGCTGGTGGATGCAGGCAGCAGGTAGCCACGGCCACGCAGAGCTCACTGAATGCTTGCCAGATAAATGTCTCCCCAGGCATTTGGGGTGGGTTTTGCAGCCCTGCTGAGTTCTGTGCTCCTGCACGTGCTGCTAGGCCAATCTGAGACAATTTACTTACGCATTTTAATATCTCCACTATGTAGATGAATGCCCCTCTGCTGCACTAAGAGTGTAAGCATAGATACATACTGCATTGTACTGAGTCATACTAAAAAACTATGTCAGTTTATCCATGATGAACATAATCCAGAAAATGCACTAGTTGTTAAAACTATTCTAACGAAGTGAAATATCCCCTTCACTGTGGTAAAATGTACACACAGCTATGTTCCTCTCCGTGGAATTGCAGCCCATGAAGTAGGAATACCTGAAGGTTTCTCGAATTTCTTGAATGTTGCTACTTTGAGAACTCTAACTAATAGTCTTGCCTTTAAAAATTAACCCAGTGGCTTCTGTTCTGCAGTTACGACCTTTCACGTGAGGTTGAAGCAGCTGCTGACACCAGCACCACATCACCAAAATCTCGAAAAAGCATGGTGAAGAGGTTCAGTCTGTGAGTATAATGGAGGAAAGGGCCTTTGGTGTTTTATCTATTCAGCTTATATTAACACAAGTAGTACTCATTTCACCAGCTGAAAAACCTGTCTGGGGATCCAGAGCACTGAATTGCTTCAAGAAGACACCATCAGCTAGAAATGCAAACTTCTGAAGCTCTCCCTGTCTGTTATAAGTAATCATGAGGATTATTAATGATAAAAGAGATTAGAAACAAGCAAGCCTTTCTAAGCTGTCAGAAAAAGGAACAATTTTAGTGCTAGTTTATAAATTCAGTATCTATTGTGTAATAACTTCCCTGAACACAGTAGCAAAACAAAGTAAAGGAGAATGACGTCTGGCCTATTATTAGTCTAGTTTGCTATACACATGCAAAAAATTCCTTGCAGGGTTTTAATATGAAAACTGAGGTTATCAAAAAGGCATTTGATAAGGGAAACAATCTGCCTAACTACCTTTAAATTAAAGAAGGAAAAAAGAATCATGGGGATGTGGTCCAATTTTGTCTTATACTACAGAGATTCAAACAGAAGATGGCTGGAGAACAGGGGCATACAGCTAAACAGACATGGGAAACAATAGACGAGCAAGAATTCAGGGAAAGGTGCAGGGAATGAAAGCAGAGATCAAGGACTGATGTAAAAATATCTTCAAGGTGAGAAATTTGAACCTGATGTGAGAGGACATACGAAGGGACTCCCATGTATCAGCAGCATAATCAAGATGAGGGGAAAAACGATGAAGTTGACTGCACTACCATCTCTTAACTGGCCTTTCCTGCTTGGCTGTTGTATGTAGTTTCCTCAGAACAGTCAGTTGCTGTTCACTTCATATCAGCGCTACTGCAGTTAGGGTCTGAAAGAGGAATAGATGTTTTCAATCTAGAGTTGTCTTGAGTTCTGATGCACACACAAAAAAAATCCCAGAAAGCTGTTCAGAAAGTGTTTCAATGAGTCAGTCTGAGTTGGTGATAGGACAATATGACCCTTGAAGATGACAGTGCCTGAACTCTTGGTGACCTGTCATTTGCGTCTCCCTTGGCCTGTGCCTAAACTGTGCGCAGGAGGTGTTGCTGGAGACCATAGGCTTTATTCTTTCGTTTCTGATTGTGTTTCAGTGCTTTGTTGTCATTTACCATACTGAGTTTGTTTGCACTGTGCAGTATTCGTCTAAAGAGTTGTTTCATCTGCACTCTGAATGTGTTTTTATGCAAATCAATACTGTAGAAAAGGCTGGCATAATTCATCCCAGGAACAGAGAGTGACACCTGTCTAAACTGTCTTAAACCATTAACTGCGTGCTGACTAACATCTAATTTACCTTGCTTCTCTACTTAACATATTATACAAGTTTGTTTCCTTCGACACTCCTTTAAATTTATTTGAGCTGCATTTAGAAATGAGTCTCAGAGAGAGTGAGCAAGCCTGTAATTTACTCTTTCTTGTGATCTCCTTGTCTACATCTCCATTCAGACTCTTAGAGAAACTGGTAACTGTGGCTCCTTTATTGAGTGAAAAATTTGCAGCAGGGATGAATTTGCCTTTTGAAACCTTTGCCTGGTGTATGGCCAGGCATTACCTTTCATGCACTGTTTCAGTCACTCATGGTGACTGAGTAGGTCTTGAGCTGCCTTGTGTACACAGTCCTGTACTGCTTCCTTGTGTACGCAGTCCTGGCCTGCTGTCAGGGTGTGACAGCAGTGCAGGATTGCATAAGGTGGAGCCAGCTGCCATGCCTCGAACTTGCCCCTCATCCCGTGTTTTGTGAACACATCAGATTTACCATCAATCATTTCCTAGCAAATGAGTCTGAAAATCTAACAGTCCAAAGAGGAGCCTTGTTTGTGACAGCGGGACATTAGCTATGATTTTGGCCTTGCAGCTGGTAGGTGTGCTAGGTCAAGAAGGTATTGTGTTAGTGTATAACAAGCTCTCTTGACAAACTGTCTAAACAACATAGAGGAAATGAAAACAACAGGACAGTCGAGATAGGAAGACAAAACAATACATGAACCAAGTGACAGCTTTGCTTAGCCCAGCTCTGTCATGCTTTCGCTTACTGGCTTTTATGCTTTGTTTTCTATACTAGACTGTTTCTAGGCTCTGAGATGATTGCCCATAGCACACCCATCAAAGAGCAGCCCAAATCTACCCCAGGTGGGAGCTCTGGTGAAAGCACAGACTCGGCCAGTGTTTCATCATGTGAGTTTAACCACTCTGAAGCTGAAGACGTCTGCATCGGTCCCGTAGACACTCCTGACACTCTTGACACTCCTCATGAGACTCAGAAAAAGGTACAGTCTGGGCCTGTTGCCAGCAACATATAAATATAAAAAAAATTATAAATATATCAATATATATAAACATATGTAAATAGCATGTAAGAGACTGTTGACACACAGGCAGGCTCTAGACGTTTTCCCAAGCCTGTTGGTCTTGGCTAGAGCATTGCTTTTAGTGGAATGGAGAGACTCTAGAAATAGATGTGTAAAAATGGAAGCAATGCAGTCAGGATTTTTGCACAATCCTTTCTATGTTGCTGAGATACGAGGCAGACTGAAGTTCTCCTTCCCTGAAACCACATGTTCTTGTGCTTGGCAGTGTTCTTTGCTTAGGTGAGACCGTAGAGAAGCACAAAATGAATTTTTCTTTCAGTCTCTAACTCTCCATTTTGAGAGGGATGGGGCAGGTTAGTGACAGTTCTACCTTCGAGCCTGGAGTGAGGAGCCTGAGCATCGCACTCGCTTATGGCACATTAGCAGTAAAATGGACAAGTCCCCACAAACAAAACCAAATGAAGCAGGAGATGGGATCAGCTGAAGTAGTAAGATCACCAGCCAGTCACTGTCTCCTTGAATATCTCAGGCTTGATGACTTATTCTGCTGTCAGCAGCCTGCTTTTGTGTCCATCCTCAACCAGCTGTAGCTGGAAAAGGAAGTTCGGCTTTGGCAGCAGCTGTGTGCTCACAAAGCTCAGCTGCAGTAAGGCTGTGTCTCCACTCTGGGAAAGGTGTCTTCTAGGTGTGGAAGCATGTGTGCATTGGTAACTGCCTAATCCTGGCGAAGACAGAGCAGCTGCAGTTGCCCAAGTGACAGGTCAGGGTTGACTAACCTTGTGGGTTTGACCTCCTGCGAGCTGCCCCTGCCAAGATGAACACCTTGCCTTGACTCAGGTTAATTTCACTTGGAAAGTCAGTACGCAGTATGGAGCTGCTGCACCTCCTCCTGCACACCAGCTCACTCTTAGCACATGCAGCCAATGTCTTACACAAAGTCACTGAACCAGGGCGCCTGGAATCCATCCCATTTTGCAGAGAAGGCAAAGCCCTGCACCCTGGCAGCTGGGACATGCAATGGCAAAGTGAGTGTAAGGCTGAAGCTGTGTTTGTGCTGAGAGCAGGTAGGTCGGGTGTGCGCTGTGAACATCCAGAGAGAAACTTATACAGGCAGGAAAATGGCAGAAGGGATCTGATAGGGGGAGCCACAGAGACATCTTTCCTACACACACTGCCCTTTTGAACTAAACTCTGTTAAGTGTATTGTTGAAGCCCTTTTCACGGATGTTTTTTTTGAAGAGAGTTATTTTGGGTTTAGCTGATGGATATTTTAAATTACATTGTACTAAACGTTCTTAAATCAAATTAAGCAAAAATCCAAGGCACTGGCATCCATAATCTTTTTAAACTGTTTAGCTGGAACAGTTGTTAATGTTGGTTTTGATAAGCAAGTTGGGAAATGGAAGATCCTCTCAGCAGTTCTTGAATAAGGCCAAGGAAGAGAATGGCCAAGCCCTGAGGGAGGAAGGAAGGAATGAAGAAGGGAAGGGGCAAATTAAGGAGAGACTATTCAAGGAGAAATGGCAGAGGCAGACAGGGAGGTGTGCGTGCATCTTCGCTCCTGTAAAGGCTACAGTCTGGCGCAGGAGCAGTGATGCCCGTGACTCCCTCTGTTCTTTCCCAGCCGGGGTTGCCTACAACCTGATTCTGTTTATCTGCTGCCACCTCCTGGCCTGCTCCAGACGTGCAGGAGGCACTTCTGAAGCAAGAGCAAGCAGTGCACAGTGTCCAGCGCACCGAATTGGAAATCAGTGTTCATTAAAATGGTGAAAAGAATCAAATGAAGTTCACTTTTTCTGAGGCAAGGAATGCCACTGCCAGTCTGCTGGGCAGAATGCAGATGACTGAGGTTTTCTATATACCTTCTGCTTTCTCAAGTTCTTCCTCCAGAATTACTCATGCAGACAGAAAAGATGTCTGGCTTGTGACAGTGTTTTTCTTTCTTTGTGTAGCTCTCTAAATCCTCCACCTTCAGTTCCATCAGCTATTCTATGCATGCATCTCCCTTGGGGGTGGCATCTGTAATCTCAGCTCCTGCCGTGCTGTTCTCCAGTGACAAGTGCTCTAACTCTGTGACACCTGTTACCTCAAAAGAACTGTCTCCTGTTTACAACCAGCAGAATAAAGATATGTGCGTCATCCGAATCAGCACAGAAGACAGCAATGGCAATATGTACAAGAGTATCCTGGTGAGTGGTGTGGAACAGCAAAATGCTGTTAGTGTAGATGATGTCCTCATCCAGGGCTTAAACAAATGGTGCTTTTAGTTTTTAAAGCACCTGTTCACTGAGCTGACTAATCAAACCTGCCTTGCAAGGGAAAATTACAAACATTACAATTCAAAATATGTGGAGCAGAGTATGAGAGGTTTGGAAATAGCATCTTTGTGGAAGTTACGGTCTTGAAATTAAAGCTTGTGCTTTATCAACAAGTTCAAACCGAAGCATTCTGATCAAGGACAGTTTTTGAAGCTCCTGTCTTTCTGCAAGTGCTAGATGCTTTAGCTCTGAATTTGTGTGCGAGTTTTGACACAAGACACCACGTGCCAAGCTGCTCCCCAGCTTTCCCTAGGAGATGGTTTCTGGAAATAGGGAGCTGTACACGGGGAATCTGACAAGCCCTTTAATTACTCATCTTCTCTCTGTGGCAAAGGTTGCCAGACCAGCAGCAACCAGTTTCCATTTTGGAAAGGTGCTTCCCTTGATGCTGCTTCCACAGAAGGGTTCTAGCAGTGGTGGGCCAGTTGCATGCAGGTCTGTGTGGGACCATGGGCAACGTGACTCGCCTGTACTGTACATGATCTCTGAAGTTAATCCTGATGGAGACTCAGCTGCTGAACAAATGCTTTTGGTCACTTGGGGCCTGTGGGAGAGATGTAACAAACACAGAGGGATCGTTCTTAGCACTTTTTAGCTACCTTACAAATTTAGTGGTCTGATGTCTCCAAATTGCAGGGATGGTCCCCGCAAGCCTGACAAATATGGTTACTGGCAAGACCAATCTTCCTTCTGACTGCATAAGCCTCTGAAGGGAGCCCAGTGTCTGATCAGGATGCACAGTGCTTCCACAGCAGACAATAAACCCAGTTAACAGGCCAAAAATCTTTGCAGGATGTCAAAGTATTTCGGACAGGAGACTGCAGATTAATTGATGTCTGCAAACCACAGATGGCACAGCTATTTAAGTGGACTTTTTATGGCTAGGAGAGAGCAGCATCTCATCTCTCAAAGTGTTTGCTCTGTGATTAACTACTGCTTCTTCTAATAGAGTATCTGTCACCTTAAACTAAAAACCCACCACTACCACCAAATGTCAGTACCTAGTACTTTGTTACTGACCTATCATTTTTTCAATTCTCTGAGTGTTTCCTAAGACCAAGAAGTTTGCAGAAAGGCAGGCCTTTGCTAATTGCCAAATTGTTATGTAGCACAAACAAGCAGAAGTTCTCATTGCAACTCTGTCTTTTCAGATAACTAACCAAGACAAAACTCCTGCCGTTCTCCAGAGAGCTCTGTTAAAGCATAACCTGGAATCTGATGCAGCTGAGGACTATGAGCTTGTACAGGTCATCTCTGAGGATAAAGGTGGGGAATCAGAGCTCTGCTACTGCTCAAAAGGTTCTGCTGGATTTTGAAGGAAAGCGTAAAATGTGAAGCAATGTTAGAAATGCCATGGAATGTCACAGCTGGCAGTGAGACTGATTGCCAGGGATACACAGGGATGATTTATTATGACAGCCAGCACATTGCTTCATACAGGCAGAGCACACTTGTGGGTTGCCAGGTAAACATTTGTATGTGCACTGTGACTGCAGAGCTCTTGACTGAATGGCAGCTGCTTTCTGTCCCTGAGCACAGCCAGCCACCAGGGTCAGGTGGCAGGGTGCAAACTCCCCAGGGATCAGGGCAGGCCCAGATCCTACGGATGTTATCAGGACATGCAAACAGAGCTCTGAGCACAGTGTCCTCTTGGAGTGGCTGCCAGGTCCTCTGCCAGGCTGGCCATGGCCTGGATTTGTCCTCTATCTCCTGTCCTCTGCAACCCTGCTCCCCTTCTTTGTGGGGCAGCTGCTGTGGGTGCCATCTGATGCAGCTTTGGCTGAAGAGGCACAGCAGAACAAGAAAAGGGGCCCAGTACTACCTGGCTGTGTACACTCAATCTTTTCACCTGGTCCCTGTTCTCTTGCAGCTTTCCTTCTATGTGCAATACTACAAATCAACACTTGCTCTGGTTCCTCTTTTGCAGAGCTGGTGATCCCAGACAATGCCAATGTGTTTTATGCCATGAACAGCCACGTGAACTTTGATTTTGTCCTGCGGAAAAAACCTTCTGTCAACATGGATTTGAAAATGAGGAGCCACTGCAATCTAACACTCCCGAGAGCTGCCAAACAGGGGTGTTGGAGCAATAGGCTCAGCAAAATTACACTGTGAAGAAGGCAAGGCCACATGGAGAACTGGCTGAGGCTTTTCCCTTTGCTACCATCCAGTATTACAGAAAAACAGCAGATGGATTTGTCAGTATTCAACTTTGAAAACAGAAGACCTACAGCCAGCGAGGTGTCTTTTCTCCCTTGCAGCCTTATATGGACAGACAGATGTGGATTTACAGGACAGTAGGGACTGGAATTTTTTGTTGTTGTTTTGTTTTGCACATTAGCCTGGGAAGGTGAGAGCCCCAGTTAAAGGGGAAAACAGGACTGCAACATTGGTCTAAGGAACATGACACAAGCCAACTGTTTTTGTGAGAAAGCATTTTACTTTGTGCCAGTATTACACAGAAGAAAGTCTAAGCTTATTTTTATAAAATTGGAGAAGAAAACTCTCAGTACAGTTGTGCTGGAACTAAGGAGGAGGTCCCAGCCAGCTTCCAGCTGACTGATGGCAGCACTAATTTGCAGAAGGTGTGGGTGAGCTGAGTGCCAGTGGCAGTTGCTGCCTCCAGGAAGCATTTGAATTTACCAAAAATCAGGATGGGTACTCATCACTGGGGACAGCAGAAACTGCAAGCATGTGTATGACTCTCTCATGCAGCTGGCACTTTTCTTTTTGCACTTGTTCTGCACCAGAAAATTGCCTATTTTGGATTTTTTTTCTCCAGAGAATTTTAATAAAACAGGCTGCACTTGCTTTTGGATGAATGTCATTGTTTGTTCATGAACAAGGCAAAAACAAATGCTACTTGTTGGGATTTACGTCTTGTCTTAATGCCACTGCAGGGTGGTTCCCCTTTTACTTTGCTAACCCACTGAACAGAAATCAATGCCTTTTGTATGTACCCTTAAATGACTGATGTATCTCTTTTTTAATGTGCAATCACTCTTCAAGAGCAAAACTTTTAACTCACATTTTCATTCATAAAGGGACACTACATGACCTTTTCTTTTAAAAGTGAGTATTGAGATAGCCAGGTTTTAAGCATTACCCCAACCAGTGATTTTTATATACTTGCAGCATTATTATGCATAATCTACAGGCACCTCCCTTGCTCTTTATATGCATCTATTAAATGAATTTCCACTGGAAAATTCCAGCTGGAATAGAGAATTTAATCATCTGTTCTCTGTGAAACTTTAAGTAACAATTTCTGAATCTTTCCCCAGAACACTGGCTTCCTTGAAGTCATAGAGATTTTGTTTTTAAAAGCCGTAAATAAGACATCGGATTGTAAGCAGCCCTGATGGAAAAGGCTATCTTTGAGATACATTAGTATTAGTTAAAACAGACTCAAATACTGTATTTTATCCATGCCTAGGCTTTGTTTCCTTCCAGTTCCGTAGCATTAGTTTTCAAAACTGGGCTCAGGTTACATTCTTTGCATCAGGGTCAATGATGCAAACATCATGATCACACATGATCGTTAAATGTTTTACACAACTATAAGGTTTGTCACTTCTGTTTACAAGTCACACCATGTAGGTCCTGGTCTGAATAGTTTAAGAATTCCAATTTAGGTTTTATTGAGACAGTGAAGGTAGTGAGTTTGTAACTGAGCCTTAACCTCTGCCCAGAGTTAGGGCAAAATTACAACAGAAGTTCAGTTTTCTTTGCATTTCAGTGTAAGCATCATTGATGTCTGTACAGTATCATTTCTAAAGTAAAGTATTGCTCACTCAAAGGTGTATGTCTGTGTTAAGGTGAAAGATGAACGTCCTTGATTTTAAAATTACACTTTCCATAAGGTTATATATGAAAAATGTTTTTTAATTGCTTTCCTGCAATCTTTATACATAAGTATTAAACCTTTTTCCACTAGTATTTGCCTTGAGTTAGTCTATGTTCTTACCTTAGATTTTCTTACTGCATATCAGGTTGGGGGGGCTTTGTTTTTTTGGTGTTGTTTGGGGCTTTGTTTAACGCCTCACACCACCTCTGTCACTCTGTTGGAACTTCTTCCAGCTCCCACAGCTCATCTTCCCTGCTCCCTTGAGGACTTGAAACTCCACATTTCCTGCATGCCCTGTAGGTGTAACCCTTCAGCTATGACCCTCCTTTAGCATTGATTTCATTTTCAACATCACACCCAGTAACAAGGTATGGACTGGTTGCAACATCGCCAGCATTACTGGCATGCATCTTCTTTAAATTCCTGCAGTTTTTTATGAGGGTGGCTTCTGTGTTTCAACAACAGTGGGGCTAGAAACGGTTGTCCAAGTAAACCAGTGTTGTGATTTAAGCCCAGCCAGTAACTCAGAACCACACAGCTGCTCGCTCATTTCCCTCCTACTTCCTCCCCCAGCTCCCAGAAGGATGCGGAAGAGAATCAGAAGAATGGAAATCCCATGGGTTGAGATAAGAACAGTCCAGTAACTAAGTTACTACTGCTACCACCAATAATAATAATGATAAGGGAAAGAACAACGGGAGAGAATACAATTGCTCACCACCTGTTGACTGATACCCAGCCCGACTCGAGCAGCCATCTGGGCCTTCCAGTTAACTCCCCCCAGTTTATATACTGGGCATGATGTGCTGTGGTATGGAATGCCCCTTTGGCTAGTTTGGGTCAGGTGTCCTGTCTGGGTCAGGTGTCCTGTCTCTGCTTCCTCCCAGCTTCCTTTCCTCTCTGGCAGAGCATGAGACTGAGAAAGTCCTTGATTGGAGTAAACATTACTGAGCAACAACTGAAAACATGGGTGTTATCAGCCCTGTTCCCAGTCAAAACCACAGCACTGCACTAGCTACTGAGAAGGAGAAAAATGACTGCTACTGCTGAACCCAGGACAATCAGTCTCACCTCCACTACCCATCGAATCGCAGCAGTTTATCATGAGCTCTATGTAAGCCAGGTTCATGCTGCAAGACGGCAATGAGCTTGAGAGCTAAAGGTAAGTGTCAGGGTACTCTGTGGGAAATGGCTAGAAGCTCAGCAGCAGAGAGAACCCAGGCCCTCTAGGACCTCAAGGAGTGGGAAGACAGTAACAATAAATTCCTTACTTCATCAAATCCCATCTTGTCGGGCTGCTTTGGGAGGAACAGAGACATACTGAGAGAGTTCAATGGGAGGACGATCGACTGAAAGAGAGGAGACTAGCAGGGCTAGTTTGTACTGTGCCCTGAACATTACAGGAAAATCCCAGAGAGAGACACCAGAAAGGAGAAAAGATACTTTCAAAAAGAGGTCAGAATATGACATCCTTCCACTCAAAAGCTTTTGCAGCTGCTTGTTCAAGGAGCTGAATCTGAAGGTGAGAAAACAGAGAACATGCAAAGTCTCTCCTTAGAGCAGATGCCTTTGCAAGAGAGAGACCCACCCACTGCTGAGCTTGTTCACTGGCAGTGTCCCAGCAACCTGTGATCAGCAGAATGCTGTTCCCTTCTGCACTGACAGAGGGTTTGCTCACGATCAGCTATAACTGCAGCAGCACTGCACCTGATGTCACATCAGGCAGCACACTCAAAAACTACATCCAGAGAAGCCAAGGGAAAGTATTTTGTTGTTTTTCATTGAGCTCTGGTAACATCTTTTATTATTTAACCACAATCTGAAAGCCACTTTTTTTTCAAAGCCTTTCATTTTTTTTTCTTTTTTTTTTTTATTTTAGTTTTAATGAAATAAGCACAACCACCCCCATCCCACTAGGAAATTAATGAAAAGCAGACACCGCATGAATGAGTCAACAAAGCAGGTATTAGTCCCCCTAATCCTTGGTATTTTTAGCAGAGCAGAATTGTCTGCATTAATGCCCCCAGTGTTTCTACCACTTGAAGTTCTGCAGTAAATAGCAGGTTACAAAACTTGCCAAGACACATTCAGCTGCAATTTAGGTAGATGGCATAATAAAAAATACTACCTGCTGACATTCATGGATTTGGCACTGACCTCATCAACTAACCTTACCTGGCTCACTGAGCTCTGTTCTTATCCTTTGCTGGCTTAAAACACAATTGATCTGTACAGATTCGCACCACTATTTCTTTTCCTTCTGGGATAAAAGCTGTTTTAGAATGGTAAAGCTACCTTAAAATGGGGAGGTGGACTTGTTCTTGGGCTCTGTTTTTGTAATCATTGCTACCAGGGACAGAAAAGGTATAGCCAGTTGTGTAATGATCAGCCTTTGTCAGGCAGTGATGAGCATTCACAGCTATGCCCTAAACCCACAGCCACATTTAGGCAACTTCTATTTCCCCCAGGGCCCTGTGAGCAGACCTTCCTGCTGGCTGGCTCCAGTTCTTCAGAGCCTCAGGCTGAAAGGAAGCTCAGGACATCTGGCTGGCTAAATGCTATTTTGCATAGAGTGCAAGGGGCCCTACAGAGCCCAGACACACTGAGATTTTGGTCTGAGTCAGTACTCCCGCCACAGGCCACATCCTCCCAGCAGAGGTGGGATGGTCTCTTTGGAGCATCACAAAACAGTTGCTTTGAGCAGTAGATCCACTGTGGAAAATCCATGGTTTGACCCGAGGCGTTTTCCCATCTCTGAACTTGGATGTCATCCTTTTACCCTGGGTGACAAAACTCAGCCCAGGACAACAATCTGAGCAGATCAGTGGGCCAGGGTGTTGAAGCAAAGCCTTTGATGTCATGGGTCAATCCTGGAAAAAGCTAAAGTGCTCCAGGATGGAAGGGGAAAATGATGGATTTCAATCCCTAACGTATTTCTTACACAGATGGGGCTAACGCAGTGCAGTTACCACACTCACTGGATGCTGTGTTTCTGGAAGAGCTGTCAGAGGGAACAAGTGGGGCAAGTAGATTGGAGGGAGCCTGCTTTGCTAGCCAGGCTTGAACTTCAGTTCCCCTCTGGAGCCAATATTTCCGTGTCCTGACCATGAAAGTCAGGACCCCACCTCACCTCTGCCTCCCAAGGCTCCAGTTTCAGCTCTTGCTGCCTCTGCCATTTGTCTCTCTGATTTGATGCCCCTCATGCTCTCATAGCTGAGTTTTAAAATGCCTTGCTTAGTCAGCCAAGACAATGCCATCTTTTTCAGTACTGTCAAGAACTTCACACCAGAAACATACCTAAAGGAAAGCTACAGACATCTGGTGTCTGCTGTGCTGGTCTGGAAATGGTGGGAAAGGCAGTTTTCTCAGCCCGTCTCTTCTGCAGAAGCAACTGCCAAATCCAACCAGCTATACTGCTGCACCTTCTCTCTGCTTGCCTGAGGGACAGCCCTTCTTGCTCACCTTAACTTTGCCTCCTTTACGAACAGCACAGGTAACACCAAATGCGCATCACTCGGAGGACCCACAAGCCATTTTTCTCCACTACTTCACTTCAGTAAGTCAGAAAACCACTCATGAAGCTCCCACAGCCAGGGGTAAGTAAAGCCGGCACAGTGACATTTGGGAAGGCTGCTCCTGGACTGACTGCGGAGCCTGCTCCAACGAGCAGAATTCTACGTACTTTGTTTGGATGTTAACTTTCAGCACTGGCTGCTCTCGCTATTTAAAAACCACCAAAACACTGAAGTTGTCTGCCTGGATCACCCGGAACATCTCCTTGTCTTGACTCCTCCTCTTGTCTTGAGGCGTGAAAAAGATTTAACCAGTTGTGGCCATGGATCAGATGATTCTTAGTGCAGAAATAAGGATCTTAGCTTATGGCCTGAGAAGCTGAACATCTAACAGTTATTTCAGGCTGTGCCATGGGTTATTTTCTCCTGTTGGGAACAGTTCTCAGGTCTCCCAAACAAACAGTCATGGTATTTTGACTAATGAAGGGATCTCAAAAGTTAGGAGAAAGTTCCTCAAAGCTTGAACGAATACAGGTTTGGGTATTTTAGTTTTGTATTGCTTTCTCAGGCGGATGAGAAATTAAGGGTCTGCATTTCTGCAGGAGTTACAGCTCCATACTGCTTTTCAAAGGTGTACTTTAAAGCACACTCAGACTGCTTCAGCGGAGAGTAAAATAAGCTTAAAAGCATATGTGCTGAATGTGGCATGCTGCTGAGCACCTTCACCTGCGTCAGGCCAAGTCCCCAGCTGATGTAAAATGTCCTCGCTTCCCTGGAATCAGTGGCGCTGTGGCAGTATAAGCCAGATCTTCAGGAAGTGGCTGTAACTTTCATTATTATTTAGTTATGTTTGTATATTTTCTTTGGGATCAAAGACAAGAATCTAAGAACTTGGTTTGATGTAGTATCCAGGTTGGCATTTTAAACTATTATATATCTGCCCTGAGATTTTTATCGTATCAATTTCTTGCAGAGTTCCATGACATGGAACAATACTGTGCTGAAACCAAAGTCAAGAAATACACGCATTTTCTGTCCTGCATACAGATAGTGCTTAGAACCTCTGCTTCCCATGTTTTCAGAAGTACACAGAGTTTTAATCAGGTCAGAGTAGAACTGAAATCTGTTTTCTGTGGGGGGCACCACTGGTCCTGGAAGCTCTGGGTTGCTGCCAAGAGAGGTTATTTATTTCGTGAAAAGGGTGGAGGTTTGGAAATCCAGGAATATCCCTAGCTGTCCGACCATAGGAAAAGTCATAAAGCTGTTCTGGCTTCTGAGATCGGTGCAGTCAACAGGCAGAATTCTGATTTTTCAGCAGCATCCAAAAAAAGGAAATGTGAAGGCATATGCTAGAGAGCCTGTGTGTGTAAGGAAGCAATATCCAGATAATAAGGATAAAATGATGGAAAAATCTCATTCCTGTTTTCAGAAGGTTTAAGGTTATTTGCATTTTCACAGTTAGGCAAAGAGTGAAATGAAGCAGTTATTAGAGTACCTTGGTTTTAGTTAATTTATCAGTTACTGCACTTCAGGCAGTTTTATTCCAGCACAGGGTGTCTGTCCCTGAAGTTAATAA